TCAGGCAGGAGGCCCGTCGGACTCGCCGTCCTCCTCGAAGTTCACCTCTTTCCGCTTCCCGATCTTGCGATCCTTGAACTTGCGCAGCAGCCTGGTAATACGGTGCGAGACCAGGTCGATGGAGGCGTACATGTAGTCCGTCTCCTCCGAGGCCCGGAGCACCTGACCGCCCTTCATGAAGAGCGTGGCCTCCACCGTGTGCGAGTGTTTCGCCGCGTGCGCCAGATTCACCACGGACAAATGGACGTCGACCTTGTTGATGGCGTCGTGCACGGGCATTTTCACCAGCACCTTGCCTAGCTTCTTCTCAACGTAATCCCTCATCGCGGGCGTCACCTCAACGTTCCCCGTGACCTGGACCTTGTAGGTGGCTGTTCGGAGAGGGAGGTGAGGAAAACTTAGGAGAAACTTGCGTGATGACACTAGCAGATGAGCCCTTCACAAACGCATAGACGCTAGAGAAAAGTCGTATCCAGGATACATACTCTTCCTATCTCAACAGACATGCTTCTCAATACATATCAATTCCATACTCACTTTCTCCGCCATTGCCATCGCCCCCGCTAGCTGTCAGGGGGCGCATGGCTCCGGTTCGTGGCTGCAGTGATGTTGGTGTCAGAGCTGCGAGGTGTACTGGTAGGACATGGCTACTGTATTTTGTCGCAGGCTGCAACGGCAAGAAAGCGTCCGCCTTCAGAATTAATGTGGTCGCAGCTGCCGCCGCAAACCAAAGCCCTTTCGTCATCTGCATGATATTCTGTTTTAAAACGACAGAAGAGGGCAGAAAACAGAATGGTGAGGTCAGAAAGCACGAGTTCACGCGTCTATTGGGGGCAGAGGACGGAGACGTCCACGAGTTCCAACAGAGGACTTGTTGAAGAAGGAACAAGCGAAGGCCAACAGAAATAGAAGCGAAAAGGTTTTCCTGTCTATGACACGCAAATTCCCTCCACATTAATCAATAAACAGTCAAAGACTCTGAAATTGACCTCAGCAGACAATGAAACGACAAGACGCAGTTCCCCAGCATGGAGCGAGGCACTGCTGCAACCCGACTCCTGTGTCCATCTGCCTGGGGAAGCTCGAGGATGCTCGTGGTGTTTCGCGTACCGGGAGGGCTCGAGGACCTTCGTGGTGTTTCTCGTACCGCCTGGCTGGCTCCTTGCCGTTAGCCTGTGGGAGTTTCAAATTTAGCTTTTCTCTCAGGTAGCTCAACGGTCGCTTCTTTTTTTCTGGCGTACTTCGTCTCTTATTCCAGATGCAATCCCTTTGCGTTTGCGCCGCATATATTGTGCAAAGGAGGCACCAAAGGCATGGCCCATACTTCGTGTACAATTTGAACCTATCGACCGTTCAACCGTATCCCTGCACGCCCTGATTCGTCCCGCGCTGAGGCCGTTGAAGCGTTCCTCCATCTGGAATCAAGAGCCTTGCAATAAACGGCCGCTTTTCCAATTTGCTTCCGCTTTGTGTGGCTTTGGCCTTGTGCTCGATGTCCATGTCGTCGCTTTAGTCACTTCTGCGTGCTCACATGTTTCACGAACGCCTTTTCACAAGATTGACTGCAGATCTACCTTCCTAAAGCTAATAATAACAATGGAGAGAAGCCCCAACGGACGCGTGCCTCTGAGCTGGAGACATGTACAACAATTTGAGACGAGATCCCCGAAAAGCATACAAGCCGCCCTACTACGAGGAGAGGATACGCTCTCCACGCACTCCGTGGCGAGTCGCCTTTCCAACGCAAAAAGCTCTTACTCCGCTACCACGTTCCAGAGCTTCGCCACATCCAATTACTCCGGGTTCTCTGCAGCAGGTGATTTGAGCAGGAAGATGAAAAATAAAAAACATCACGTGCATCCGAGCGAGCTAGACCCTACCGTGGCTTATGACGTAGAGTGGGTACACGACGAATTGGCTCTATCCTGTATGGTGTGCATGGCCGAATTCTCCCCTCTAATGCGCCGAAAGCACCACTGCCGCGCCTGCGGGCGTGTGGTGTGCTCAGGATGCTCCAGTGCCCGTGTCCTGGTTCTAGGTCTGCGAGGCCTCCAAAAGGCCTGCACGGATTGTGTGCGCGGAGCGGAGAAATTGAGGGCCTGTGAGAGCATCAGCGAGGACTCCGAGGGAGGTGTCCGGCTGACAGAAGAGCAGGAGGAAAACGACGCTACCATGGAAGGCTTGAAAAAGAACGAGATGACGAGGGAAACGGAACGCAGCCCGGGCCGCGTGTGTGGCAGCAACAGCTCGACCCACGTGGAACGCAAAGTAGAAGGCGACAAACAGGAGGAGCGACAGCAGGCTCTAGAAAATGACGACGAGCCCTTCCCGCAACAAGCGGGCAAGAAGAAAAAGCAGCGATCAAAAGACAAGACTTTCTCCACGGCGAGCATCGGTCTCCTGGCCGTGGGGTGCACAGCCCTGGCGATAGGCTCAGCACTAGCTATGAGCCCCAAACTGCTCTCCGGTATCATGGGCCGCTTTAAGAGATAAAGGCAAACAACAGGGCCAGAGGCTACCTGCGAAAGAAACACAGCGAAAGTAAAAAGAAGGATGGATGGAGAAGGGGGAGGGAGAGGGAGGGAAAAAGAGTCGGGAAGAACGTTGGTGAAGGCGCGGTTGCCTCCAAATTGCGTATACTTGTCTTTTTAGAAGAAATGAAATGACAACTTGGCGCGTTCAGTACATGTCTGTAATTTCATATTTAGAGATGTCGCAGAATCGGCGGTCTGTCCGTAGATGCACTCACTGGGACATGCAGCCTCCTGGAGATACCATAACGACATTTAAAATGAGAGATGCTTTTCTACGGGTGACAATCGCGGCTGACATGGTGCGAAAAGAAGAGGAGGCGGAGAAACAGACTAGTTCTCGCAAAGAAATCCAGGATTGCGCAGCAAATGTGGCCTGAGGGACCCACTTTGCATGGACCGGGGCGTCATAAGCCCCGAGGCCCCGCCTGGATTGTCCTCATTGTAGGACCAACAAATAAATCGTCACCCGTGCGAGTACGTGTTCAGATGACTCGACATCAGATTCACCCCAACGCTGGGTACGAGAGACGATGAACATGCCTACAACAAATGGGCCATTTCGGATACCAAAGCATAAATTCGTGCAGAGAGCTTGTGCATAATTGAAGCGAGGAGAGAAAAGATGGGAAAGATTACGATTGGAAAAGGAAATCCAAGGTACACTATGTCAAGGTGCTGGGCCGGTGAAAAGCAGCCACACAAGCTTTATGCAAAGCAAGCATTAAACTGTCGGTTTGAATTTTTTCTACAATCAGCAACAGTCATACGTTATTTTCACACCTTTTGACTGCGTTTTTTGACTTCAAACTCATCCTAGACCGGGGTATCCGCGCCATGTCAGAGAGTCAGGCCCCTTTACCACTCATTATCACCGTCACTGCCAGTCTCCCTCCGCACGCCCCTTACGTCGCCACCAGGTGCTTACCCGCCCCACATTTTGATGTATCAGTCCATCCAGCATGCCATGGCCGGGCAGAAGGGAGACCACTTCTAAAACCGCGCCTGTCGCGTGGTACCGCCGGAGGGAGAGATAGTGATACACCTGGATTGGAGAGGGGGAACGTTTGATAAGCCAGGGGGGAAAACCAAGGTCGATACGAGATGCGACAAAAGGGCGTCAAAGAGCTTGATTCGTGGCAAGGAACATATCATTTCCCTTTACTTCTGCCGCTGACACGGTGGCAGCGAGCGACTGATGGGAGGCCAATCCTACCAGAATGCGTCGATCGCTGCGTACTGCTGCGCTCTGAATGCTGGAGCATGGGCGACACTGGGGCGTGAAGCGCTGCTTGACTCTGTTGATCGTAAAGGGTGCCGAGAAGGGGGATGGTGGGCGTGAGCGACGTTTGGCGGGGGCTGGTCCTGCCCTCTCCTTTCCCCACAAGACAATAAAAATTGCGCCTTGGCATGGCCTGTTTTTTTTCCGTCCCTTCCCCTCCTGCACCCTCACCGAATGCCCAAGAGCCGCCGCCACCAGCGACGGCTCATCTCCACTGCCACCTTCCTTGGCGGCATGTGGTCCCCCACGTAGTCTCCCATTTGACGCCTGCCGCACGTATGGCAGCCGTACACCCACCCAAACATATCCAACCGCCGTTTCTGTTTGGGACTCGCGTACTCCAGTCCTGCAGGGAGGGTGCCACGGACGTTAAAGAAGGCGCCCGGTTGTGCCACGTTACTCGGTGCGACGCCGCTGAACCGCCCTCCAAGACCCTTGAATAGCAGCATGCCCACCAAGGCTGTGCGCGCAGCCCCAAGCAACCGTTCCTTCTTCTTTCCAGCGTCGTATCCCAAGAGGGAAAATGTCGAGCTTGAAATGGTCCCGCGCTTGTCGATTACACCTCCTTTTCTCCTTCGGTCCTTTTCCGGTACCCATCCTAGCGCTACGCTCAGGGTCGCCGGAGCTTCATCCGCTGCCAATGATGCCAGCATCGACCCAGTGCTCACTGAAAGCATGCCCGCAAGGGTAGCGGCTCGAGAAGCAGCTGAAATGCCCAGAAGCCGCCCTTGCAAGAACTGCGAGGCGGAGAGAGTGAGAAGGAAGGTAACTCCACCCGCGGTCAACCTACTGGCCTTGAGCCAGTCTTCTTGAGAGAATCGCCACTCTCTATCGGGGTACTTTGTCATTTCAAGTCGAGACTCTCCTTAACGACTCGAAGAGTTGAGGAAAAAGCTGCAGGGGTCAGAAGGCGTATCGAAAACGTCGTGTCTGTCCGGGCGACACTCAGGCAGGAGGCCCGTCGGGACTGTGACATAAGTGTCACCAGTCTTCCTGTCCAAGCTTTAGCTTTGATTGCATTCTATACAAGGAAAATAAGAGTGTGGAGACGTCAACAAAAGCGTGGAAAACTTGGCGAGCGTCTTTCATTGCGTCCAAGCGGCTGTATCGCTGCCTGTAAGGCGGGGGCGAGGGGCAGACCGCACTTGGGTCACGCGCTTTTCAGGGATTAGGAGCCCGGCTTCAGTATTTAAAGCGATCACCTTACTCATCGGCTTGAACGCCTTGACAGGACACATTCGAGTAAGCTTTCATCTTCCCGGCAATGTCATCTCTCAAGTAAGTTTTTGCTCGTGGTCCTCCGTGACCTCCTCGATGCCCCGTTTGGCATTCGCGACATCCAAGGCCCTTACCAAGTCCTCATCTCCGATCCTTGTGTTCCAGGCGCGACCACGAAAATGGGCATGTCGTGGATGATGGCGAGCAGCAAGTGAAACGGGCGAAGATGGATGTAAGAGAGGAGGAGAAAGAGGCGGGGCCGCCGCCCGAGGAGGCCTTGCGCATCGCGGAGATTGCGGCGCGGGCTGAAGCTAGGGCTGCCGCGAGAGCGTCGGCAACAGGGAGTAATGGAGGGAGAGATGCAGGAGGGAACGGTGGAGCGGGAGGGATTGCGAAAGGGAACCATAAGCTTCCGCCTTTGCCAACCCTGATTGAAGGGGGAGCGCATGAGGTGAAGTTTCTGACCAAGAAACAACGGGAGCAACTGGCGTTGCAGAAATTGCAGGAGAAGCGGGCAGCAGAAGCCCCGAGTGTGAAGAGGACCGGTATGGCAATGAAGGATGTCGGCAAGGGTGGCAGTGCGGGGGATGGAGGCATGGGTCCGCCCCGGCCCGGGTCGCACCGGGACCGCGACGGGCGAGAGGGAAGCCGGGAAGGAGGCTGGAGGGATGGGGCCCGTGGGAGGGCTTCCGATCGTGGAGCTAGGGAGGAGAGGGAGCGTGGAGGAAGGGGTTTGAGTCGGGAAGAGCGGGAGCGGGAGCGTTTGGAGCGGCAACGCCAAGAAGAGCTGCAGGCGCTGAAAGACCACTATCTGGGGAAGAAGGAGGTGAAGCGGCGCGTGGTGAAGCCCAGCGAGAAGTTCGCGCGCATTTTCCAGTTTGACTGGGAGGCTTCCGAAGACACGAGCCGGGACAGCAACCCCCTGTACAACCAGCGGCTGGAGGTGACCCCCTTGTTCGGGAGGGGGTACGTGGCGGGCGTGGATATGCGGGAGCAGCGGAAGACGAACAGGTACCTGGAGGCGCTGACGCTGAGACGGCAGGAGGAGGAGCGACGGGCGGAGGAGGAGGCGGGCGTGAGTCGGGGGGACAGGCGGGACAAGGAGGAAGAGCGCCGGTCCTTCATGGAGGACATGCGGCGGCGGCGGGAGGCGGAGGCTCGGGGCATGGAGAGGGCGACGATTGGGGTGCTGGGGCAGCACTGGCGGGACAAGAGCTTGGAGAGCATGACCGAGAGGGACTGGCGGATCTTCCGGGAGGACTTCGACATCAGCATGCGGGTCGGGCGCCAGCGCGTCTTGCCTCTTCGCAACTGGGAGGAGGCGAACCTGCCTGCCAGCTTGCGCAAGACCGTTGAGGGCATGGGCTGGAAAGAGCCCTCGCCCATTCAGCGGGCTGCCATCCCGGTGGGGATGGGCCGCCGGGACATCATAGGGATCGCGGAGACGGGGTCTGGGAAGACGGGGGCCTTCGCCATCCCCATGATCAACTACTGCCTGACCCTGCCGGCGGAGCACCGGACCCGCACGCCGGAGGAAGGGCCGCTGGCTCTGGTCATGGCGCCAACCCGGGAGCTGGCGGAGCAGATCGAGGCGCAGGTTGCGATTTTGATCGAGGGGACGGGTCTGAAGAGTTGCTCGGGCGTGGGGGGAAAGCCCATTGAGGACCAAGCCTTTGCCCTGCGCGAGGGCGTGGACATATTGATTGGGACGCCGGGCAGGCTCAAGGACCTGATCGACTCCCGGTACCTGGTGCTGAACCAGTGCAACTACATCGTTCTGGACGAGGCGGACAGGATGGTGGACATGGGCTTCGAGGAGCAGGTGGTGGCCGTGCTCGACACCATGGGAGGCCTCCTGAAGTCCGAGAACGAGGAGGAGGCGGACCGGCAGGCGGACGCGGCGCAGAAGGGGGAGCAGCTCTACCGTGTCACCGCCATGTTCTCGGCCACCATGCCGCCGGCAGTGGAGCGCATCGCTCGGTCCTACCTGAGGGCGCCCGCCACGATCAAGATCGGAGAGGCCAACAGCGGGAAGAACAAGCGGATCGAGCAACGCCTCATCTTCACCACGGAGCCGGGAAAGAGGAAGGCGGTGGTGGATCTCCTGACCAGCCCGAAGAAAGAGGACAAGTTCATCGTCTTTGTCAACGCCAAGCGGGCCTGCGATGTGCTGGCTCGGCATCTGGAGCAGACGCGCATCTCCTGCGGGATTCTGCATGGGGGCAAGAGCCAGGACCAGCGCGAGGCCAGCCTGGAGGCCTTTCGAAACGGGGTTTTCACCGTCTTGGTGGCCACAGACGTGGCAGCCCGAGGCCTGGACATCCCCGACGTCTCGCATGTGATCAATTACGACATGCCCGCTAAGATAGAGAACTACTGCCACAGGATCGGGCGGACGGGGCGCGCGGGCAAGGAGGGGCTGGCGACGACGCTCCTGACGGAGAACGACAGCGAGGTCTTCCACGACTTGAAGAACTACCTGGAATCCACGGACATGAAGGTGCCTCCCGAGCTTGGGAAGCACGCGGCCGCCCAGCAAGCCCCGGGGACCCGCAACGAGGACGGCAAGATCATGGGCCAGAAGAGGGACAGCGTCATGTACTCGAAGCGTTAAGGGGGTATGGCATCGTGCCCAAAAAAGTGCAATGTAAAGATGATCGAATCCAGTTTTCTGGGGCACAAAAAGGAAACGCGTGCCGGGTGACAGCTTTTTCGTTTACGCCTGTCTATTTTACTTCTTTTGACTCTCGCAAGCCTTGCCTGTCACTTTCGACGTCTGGACAGCCCCCTTCTCTGTTCACCCCCTTTCTGCGCCACCATGGCGCCCCCGCATGCACAGTCTGTTCCCAGAATGACAACCTCGCGCACTGCAAGGCGATGCCTGTGGAGGCTCGGGGCTCCATGCACAGGGGGTAGAGGGCTTGGATGGCCGGGTCCTTTTCATCCTCCAATAGGAAGGAAGTCATTGGGGCATACATACTGTCTTGCCAGATGGGGCTGCCTTCCGCAGCGAAAACTGCGCGAAGTTGGTGGGTCCTGCCAGTGACAAGCTCGGCCTCGACCTCGTAAAGAGAGGGCGGCAGGTCCTTCTCGCCGCCAGAGCCGCCATCTTGACCATCGTGGATAGCGACCAAGTTCAACTCTGAGAAAGCGACGGGTTGGCAGGACAAGACGCGGGTCTGACAGAGCTTCCAGCCCGGCAGAGGCCGCCGGCTGATGGCGCGGGGGGCGGGCCGGCGGTGGATGATTTTCCCTAGGGGACGAGAGGGGCGGCGACGTGGGGAGAGGGTGGTAAGGGCGACTCGTCTGTCTCCAGGATGGTCAGTCGAGAACATAATGCTAGCCAAGAAGACCCACCTGGCATGTAGTGCTCGAGGAGACCCACGGGGACGGGGCCCGTCAGGAGGGCTTTGTACCTCTTGCCTAGCCGGTCGCGGCGTATCTCCTCCCAAAAACGAGTGGCACCCTGCGCGGTCTTGGCCAGAGGCACGAGCCCGGAAGTGACGACATCAAGGCGATTCATACTGTGCGAGGAAAATGGGGACGAATATCAGCGCTTTTCTGGACTTGCAAAAGACGCACCACCGATCAATTAAGGAAAATAGCACCGTGCTTCTCTGTGTTAACCCACCGGATAAGGTTAAGGCCCAAACTTGCCGAGGCTGCCACGTCCAATGCTTCGAGTGCATTTGAGACGTGCAAGGAACAGGGACAGCCAGGAGGCTTGTCCACCAGAAGCAGGTCGTCGTTCTCCCATATTACCCGGAAGGTATAGTCAATCATGCATTCCGGGAAACGGCGTGGGAATAAGTAGACCCGAAAGAGGTCTCCTTCCAAAACCGTTGAAGGTGGATACTTCTCTATCAAGTGAGTGCGCCGAAATTTATTCTGCCTGTAGATATAAACAGCTCCGATCTCGTGAAGCTTTGCTGCGCGATCATGGGACATATGCAAGGCCGTAGCGACTGCCTCTGGGACGGTGGCAAATTCGCAAGAGGCGTGGAAAAAGGCAGTACTGTTGTCTTTTGGAGTACCCGGGAAAAACGAAGCAATTTCCCGTAGGTCCTGTAGGCTCTTTGGTCTAGGAGCAGGTTGGGTGGTACCTGGAGTGGAGACGGTCGATGCAGTCGAGCCCCGTTGATAAGGAACATTAATACAAGAGCGCAATGAAGGTCCCCATCTCCGGTATGGGAGTGTCAAAATTGCAGAGAATTCCCCATTCTGGTTGTTGTGAAGTCGAAATATGAATCCCGGCAAGACCCGGGCTCGCATGCCTGCACAGGATCTGAGCCCGGTGACGGTGGAGATGAGCTGGAATGCGAGGAGGACAAGAAAAATGACGGGGCCCCGAGCCGCCCGATCCTGCATACGATAGGGCAAGATTGCTACTAAGCTATTTAGTATGAACGTTCAGATAAAAATAACCCCCACTTTGGCGGCAGGTAGCAAATATGTAAGAGAAGGCAGCATTTACTCAGCACGCCTCATCCAGTTGAACCTCCTAGCCCTTATCCCCCAAACAAGCAAAAAGTGCAAGGGCAAAAAGGAAAACATTGCTGGATTGGTCATCTTTTTTTCCATCTATCTCTTTCGTGCTCCATTCTGCAACACTTGTTAAAGTTCTCTGGCTGGCTTTACGCAGTCTCTTTGTTTTTGGCTGTCAAGCACCTCTGCTCGTCCTAACCCACTTTTCCTCCAGCCACGCCAAGAAGGCCAGCGCCCTTCGAGAAGGACGCGAGCCTATCTTGAAGAACACATGGCTGAGATCTTCTCAATTCCCTATTAAGTTGTAAGCCCTTTGTTAGTTTTCCCTTGTGCATGGCACGATGAAACTCGCTATTTAATTAGAGCACCACATCCCCAACATCACTCCATGCGATTTCCGTGGAACCCATTCCCTCTTCTGATGTCACCTTAGGGTCACTTTATTGGAATGTGAACTTGCGCTTGAAGGAAAGCGTGGCCGTCCTGGGCTCCTTGAGGGGGATGTTGGCGCGTGTCACCCACTCCCCGCCTTTCCCGGGGTCTGACCAGGTGACATCAAGGTCCGTGAACGGGTCCAGAGTGGTCTGCAGCTTGGCACCGTCACCGAGGAGGTGCGTCCACTGGTAGGTAAGATAGCCCCGCTTAAGGCTGAGGGTGGGGGAGATGGTGTTGGCGTCGTCCACCTGGTGGTTGAGCGTGAGCTTCCCGTCCTTGTCAGCCTGAGAAAGCTCGAGGACCGCGTTCGTCTTGCCCGCCTGGATGTCCTGGGCCACCGTGAGCTCGAAGGCCCTGGTGCTTTGGTCCCACGCCGGGGTCAGGGCCAACTGGCGCTCGCCAGGCAGGCTGAATCTCTTGGAGCCTTCCACACGCTCCACCACGGAGTCCGTGTTGAAAGCCGCGCGGATGTAG